GAGAAGCAGGCTTCCCGCAGAGCAGAGAGCCCGATGTGGGGCTCGATCCCAGGACCCTGGGATCATGACCTGAGCCAAAGGCAGACGCCACCCAGGTGCCCCTACCCTCCCCTTTCTTAAAGTTGTGACATGCTATCCCCAACCCCACCCTCCCATTACACTACCTAACTCTGCTCTCTTTTCTCCTACTTGGTATTTCCTACCATACTGTTTCCTTTACCTGTTTATTATTTTTATTCTTTGGGTCTCTTGTCCCCTGTTTTATGCGGGCAGGGATTTTTATTTTGTTCACTGATATTTCCTGAACTACTATTACAACAGCACAAAGTAGTGGCTCAAAAAACCCCAATTCTTGAGTGAATGTAAAAAAAATCTATTAGAGCTTGACCTGAGAGTGGCATCTGACCAGAGAGGGGAGGAACGGCATTTGCAGGCTGGCAGAGGGAGCATGCGGAAAACACCCATGCGTGTGTTTTGAAGGGTGGCGGCATGAGGAAAAGCACAGGAACGCCCATATCTCACAATTTTGCTTAAAGATTACCCCATAAGTTTCCCTCTCATATAAAATATAAATTTTTGAGCCTGAATATCAAGAGTCATTTTGCTCTTGTTTCTTCTTAGTGTCTTATCTGGCTTCCCCTACTTGGGGGAAAGTTTCTAATCGAGCTATTTCGTGATTTTGGAATTTACTTGAGCTCTCTGATGGGAACCTGAAAGTCTTTCACTATACACCACAGTTTTACTTAAAAAAAAATTGTAGATGTCCCTTAGCTTTCATTCCCTCTATTCTCTCCATCAGACAACTGACTTTCAGATTCCCCAATTATTGTTTGTCTAGGCAATATAACATCCCCAAAGACTCCTGTTTCTTTTCATCTTTCTTCTGAGAGTATGAATTCTGTGGAGTCAGGAACTCTTAGATGAATCTGATTTTCTAATTAGGAGTTTCTAATAAGATGGAAATAGGGATGAGGTAAAGTTTATTACAATTGGTGGATTTTGCTACTTTCTGATGAAAATGATGTTACAAGTAAGAATGTGGGCCTAGTTGGTTGTAAGGCCCTTTTCAACTTTGCAAGAATTCACTGAAAAGCTGAGACTTTGACCAGCATCCTTATGAATTTGTAGTACAGGCTATATGGCTGTTCTTAAAATCCTTTCTTCCATCTAAAACTTTTTATTTCCCACCATATCATAATGGATTCTGGGGAGTAGGCTTGCAGAAAAGGGTTACTATAGTAGGCCTAAGGTGCTAATTTTAGAAGAATCTGACACCAAGATTGGCCCTTGGCTTGCATCTGGGAACTCCATTTCTAAAAAATTCCCTACACTGATATGAAGAGTTGCCTAATTGGTAAGAGTGCCTTGCTGTGCCTAGACTGTATAAACCATGCAAATTTTGGTGAAAACCTCCTTTCCTTCTAGAGGTCTGGTATTTTGGTAGTGGTTAGGCTGAAGATGCCTATGTGACAAACTATCAGTAAAAACTTATCTCTACCGGGCTTCCCTGGGAAGCAGCATTGCACATTTCCAAAGCTGGAGAAAGGAGCATTCTCAGTGTGTCCCTCCTAGGCATTGAAGGACAGTGTCACTGTGATAAATCTTAGCCGTGAGTACTACTACATGCTGGATCCTGTGAGTCCTTTAAATGAATCCTCAAACATATGGTGGTCTTGGGGACTCCTCATAAACAGAAATAGTGCTAAATACTCCTTTCTCCACAGTTTTCAATCAAACAATTATCAGTCTTCATGTCTTATAAATTTTCAGGGATTCATGCTCAGGGTATTTATTAAAATTTCTCACTAGAATTATACAAGACTGAAGGCAGTAGCTGGGATAGGGTCACATAGTAAAATCCAAAAGTACTAAGATCATGATCTAGTCAGTTAAATTGGTCAGACTAGGAAAAAAGGTTAAGAAAAAGAAACAATTTAATACATGTGAAAGCAAAATAACTTCTAGGAGTCAGGTGTATATAAGAACACATGTTAATTATTTTAACTAAACAAATATTTATTTAGCACTTACATGTTAGTAGGCAGATGGCTTAAACTCTTATTTGGTAGCAAGATATCATGGGGTATTAGAGTCTTTTAATTAGAATTCATAAAATCAAATGCCTGGAAGGGCACACAGTTAACATAAATGCACGATGCAGGCCACAAACAAGGTAATTGCCCCTAAGCTGCTCTAACACTTTCTAGTTACTGCCTTTATACCTCAAACAAATGCAATGAAGTGAAACAAAGTGTTGGCTACCTATGACAGATGTGTTTTCAACCCCTGCTCTAAACTGTAATCATCATCAATAAAAGAAAGCTGTCAATCAGATATTGATATTAATAGATTCTATTATATAGATTATGGATATGAAGTACTTTTAATGTAAAGAACACCAGTCTGGTAGGGGATTGAAATGGAGGAAAAAAAATGTAGCTAAATATTTTGGGATATTGCTTATTTGTGGTTAAGGAGAATCACGTAAAGCAATTTTCTAGAAGAAAGGGAAGACAACAGTCTAACTTGCCATAAGGATCTATACTTGCCATTATCCAATGTCTTTTTAAAATGACATTCATTCTATCCCAACCTTGTGCCTGCTTTTTCCTTAACCAGCTATTCTGGTAAATCATGGGTAAAGATCCCATCCATAGCACCCATCCAGTTTTGACATTTCTAAAAAGCACCATCTAAGAAAAACAAGAGCGGACTTGAATAAAAGTTTCCTGTTTTTTTTAACACACAGCCAAAAATCCGAAGATTGAGAGAAAACCTGTATTTTTTACTTAAGGAGGTTATTTAGCAGAGTGGTTAAAAGCACACATTTACTTTGGACTCAGACTGACATTGCCCCAAATTTCTACTCTACATTCTTGTGTAATCTTGGAGAAGTTACTTAGCCTCTGTAAATTCCCATTTCTTCATCTGTGAAATGATGAAAACACTTTCTACTTATATATGTAAAGTTCCCAGCGTGTCATAAGTAGTCAGTAAAATATGGTGGTGATGATGGTGGTGATTACGATAATGGTGATGGTGGTGATGATTACGATGGGGATGGTGGTGGTGGAACGATTATGATAATGGTAGTGATGGTGGAAGAGATGATTGTAATGCTAACCTGAAGAAAGCTTCAAAGTACTTAAAAGGCAGTGGAAATTTTTTTTCAAATGAACTCCTAAGGGAAAAGCTACTGTAAAGACAGATAAACAATACTGGCTGAAGGATATGGGGGTAGGAGAGCAGCCTGCTCAGCCATCCCTCCTCCTTCCATCTGCCCACATTTGTGGCCCCAGCAGTTTCCCATGGAACTCCAGCATTCAGCCAAGCAGAGTCTGAAAATCTATGGCAAGAGATTGACAAAGAAATGGCAAGATAATCTTTACTTACTTTAGATCTAAGGGAGGTTTAATGTTTCTGGGAGGTAGACTTGGGACTGGCGGTTGGTTGGCTGGATGGGGTGGTGGAGGTGGTGGCAGGAAAGTAGTTGAGTAAGACGTTTGGCCTTTGCTGGTACCTAAGAAGCAGAACCAAAAGTACCGTGAATTAAGATAAACCTTCAAAACACAAGAGCTGGCTATTCCATTTTTTTTTTTTTTTTTAAGATTTTATTTATTTATTTGAGACAGAGAGAACGAGAGAGACAGAGAGCACATGAGAGGGGGGAGG